AGGCATAGAATCATAACTATCATTGTCTGCTGGGGATGCGAGAAGTCTATCTCCGTGCATTTTTGGTTTTTTGCAGGCTGGCTCTGGTTAAACAAACAAACAAACAAAAGGCTATCACCAACATTCCTAATAATGTAATACCAATCCCCCTTTTAGTTTCTAAAAAATAATACTAATGGTTTTGTAGTTGGATAAAATGCTAGATATTATACCTCCTAACAGCATTCGTGTTGTGTAGCTTGTGGAAAGCTGAGGGCTCATGTTATGCTGGGCCCCTTGGTGCTCTGTGGGGATTGTGAGATCCACGAATGGCTGATCGTCCTCCCATTCTGAAGGAAAAGAAAAATCCCAATGGTCAGAATTGTTGCAGAAAATTTTTTATAAGAATCTAAATGTATGAAAGTATGAAAGACAAATACCTTCATATACCCTCAAACATTCTGAGTCTGTCAATTCATTCTAGTGAAAGAAAACAATCAATCAATCAAACAAGCAAGCAGACAAGACTGTTATAAAACTCCATTTTGCATCTAAGTATTTCAAAAATTAGGGATAAAATTACTTACAGTAGTAGCTTCCATCCTGAAAAGGGTCTTCTTAGCAGATCAAATGGCTCTGGAAGTACGGATATACCAGAAACCAGCAAATGTGACTGGACCAGTATGGGCCCTACTTTTATACACGCTGGTGATGTCATAAATTAATCACATCAGAGTTGGTGAGTTCTTCACACGTTTTGCAAAACTGGCCAGCCCCGCCTCATCAGGAAAACACAATTAAATAATATCACGTGAGTTTTGATTAAATTGTATCTCTGCGTTTAACATCTGACAAGTTTAAACAGGGGGTCAGCAAAAGAAAAACATAATACATCTTCATGTGATTTGTAAAGCACATTTTATTATAAATTTCATAGCATTAACAGTTTCTTGTAATTAATTTCTGTTATATTCTGGCATATGAACCTTTTCAGAGTCAATGGCAATTCAGCTTCAATCTTTAACATTAATGACAGTGGTTTACTGTTCTTCTCGATACGCTGTATGAATGTCTTGAACTCACCAAGGGAATCCTGGGTGAAATATAAGTTATTCATTTTGTCAGAAATACTGATGATGATCCAGAGAACATGAGGCATAGAAAGTCTAAAGCATAAGCTGTTAATAAGCTCTGTTTCACTGGTACCATCCACATGGACTTCATCTGATTATAGACACCCCATTAAACAATGGTGTAATATTTTAATGATACACGCTTTCAGAATCTGAGGCATGCTGACATTTTGAGACTCCACCATTTCTAAAGCAGGAAATAAGGTAGAATTAGGCTAGATGTTTCAACTAATCAAAATACTGTTTTCTTAATTTTTAGATTTACTTACCATTTGATGTTTTGCAGAACCTGCAATAACAAGGCTTTATAAGTTCGTTCTCTTCAATGCAGCCATATAGCGCAGATCCTTTTCTTATTCTACGCCCACGCTTGGGAGGTTTGGGGGTCAAATCTCCATCAGTATTTGCCATCTTCAAAAGACTGCTGGAATTAAATCGCTAGCTGTTCAGGCTCGCCCGCACAAACTCCCCTGCCGTTGCAATGACACTCCCTTGAGCATTGCGTATGCCCAGAATCATGGGGGGTATGACATGCCCGGGCATGTCCTGAACAAGGAATTTTTTACTAGCAGACAGAAACACGCATGCCCAGAATCACGGTCCTGACATGCCTGAGCAATGCTTAACTCCTACTTGCCACCTGGCTGTAGGGGGGCAGAATAAATTTTATTAAGGCTGTGCTTCGAACAGTTATGTGTACATGAGGATTTGAGGGTGCAATTGGCAAAATATGTGTCTTTAGATTTTCACAAAGGTAAAAACCAGCTGCGGGTTTTAAAAGGACTGTGGTTTGTTTGTTTTTTCCCCCTGCATTCAAGGAAGTGATTTTAAAACCGGCTAGCAATAAATACCTTTTAGAAAAAAGGGGGTTAAATGCAGGCCCTGGCTGCCTTTTAGGCGTTCCTTTTTTCCCAGCTTTTGAGGCACTGATTTTTAAAACTCCACAAAAATTAAAAACATCATTAGTCTAGAATGATTAGAAATAAAAAGCATTTTTTTTTAATTTCACAGCTCCCCAAAGTAGGGGTTTGTTTCCCAAAAACACAGGCCTCTGCTAATTATTTACTTTACTTAGCTTTTTTTGGTTTTGAATGTCCATAGAATTAGTCTAGGGTTAAGCTAATCATGTACCCAGAGGATTGACTACCACATGTTTCTTGATGGGGTTAGGTTCAACACACCTTATCTGAAAATTGGGCTGTTAGGGCTACTCATACTTATCTTGATGGGCTTAGGCCAACATGTCACTTCTGCTTAGGGTCATGACCTGGTGACATAATCATGTGGGTTTGTTTACTTTGATGACATCACTGATCAAAAGTGTTGATAATTTTCATTAAAAAAGATATACACTATATCTACTAGAGAGAGAGAGAGCAAGAGAGAGAGGGAGAGAGGAAGATAAAGAGAGAGGGGGAGAAAGAGAGGGGAGAGAGAGAGGGAGAGGAAAGAGACGGAAAGAGAGAAAGAGGGAGATAAAAAAGAGGGAGAGAGAAAGAGAGGAAAGAGAGGTAGAGAAAGAGGGAGAGAGAAAAAGAGAGAGAAGAGAGGGAGGCGGAAGAGAGAGAGAAAGAGAAAGAGAAAAGAGAGAGAGGGAGAGGAGATAAAGAGAAAGAGAGAAAGAAAGAGAAAGAGAGGGAGAGGAAGAGGAGAGAGAGAGGGGGGGAGAGAGAGACAGGGAGAGGAAAGAGAGAAAGAGAGAAGGAGAGAGGAAAGAGAGAAAGAGAGGGAGAGGAAAAAAAGAGAAAAACAGAGAGAGGGAAAGAAAGGAAGAGGAGAGAGGAGGGAGAAGAAAGAGAGAGGAAAGAGGGAGAGAAAGAGGGAAAGAGAGAGGGAGAGAGAAAGAAAGAGAGATGTGGGAGAGGGAAAGAGAGAGGGAGAAAGAGATGTGGGAGAGGGAGAGAAAAGAGAGAGAAAGAGAGAGAAAAGGGAAAGGGAGAGAGAAAGAGAGGGTGTGGAGAGAGAAAGAGAGAGAGAAATGAAGGGAGAGAAGAGGAAAGAGAGAGAGGAAAGAGAAAGAGAGAGAAAAAGAGAGAGGAAAGAAAGAAAGAAAGAGGGAGAGGGAGAAAAGAGAGAGAGAGAGGAAAGAGAAAGAGAAAGAGAGGAAGAGAAAGAGAAAGAGAGAAAGACAGGGGGAGAGGAAAAAGAGAGAGAAGGAGGGAGACCGAGAGAGGGAAAGAGAGAGAGGAAAGAGAGGGAGAGGAAAGAGAGAAAGAGAGAGAGGGAGAGAGAAAGAGAGAGAGGGAAAGAGAGAGGGAGGGGAAGAGAGAGAAAGAGAGGGAGGGAGAGAAAGAGAGGAAGGAAGGGAGTGGGAGAGGAGAGACAGAAAGAGAGAGTGAGAGGAAAAAGAGAGAAAAAGACGGAAAGAGGGAAAGTGAGAAAGAGGCAGAGAAAGAGGGAGAGAAAGAGGGAGGGAGAGAGAGGAAGAGAGAGGAAAAGAGAAAGAGGGAGAGAGAGAAAAGAGAGAGGGAGAGGAAAGAAAGAGAGAAAAAGAGGGGAGAGAAAGAGAGGGAGAGAGAGGGGAGAGAGAGAAAGAGAGGGAGAGAGAGGGAGAGGAAAGAGAGAGGGAGAGAGAGAAAGAGAGGAAAGAGAAAGAGGGAAAGAGAGGAGAGAGGGAGAGGAGAAAGTGAGAAAGAGAAAGAGGGAGAGAGAGAGGCAAAGAGAGAGGGAGAGAGAGAGGGGGGAGAGGGAGAGGAAAGAGAGAGGGAAAGAGAAAGAGGGAAAGAGAGAAAAGAGAGAGAGGGGGGAGAGGAGAGAAAGAGAGAGGGGAGAGAGGAAAGAGAGAGAAAGAGGGTGAGAGAGGAAGAGGAAAGAGAGAGGGAGGGGAAGAGAAAGAGAGAGGGAGGGAGAGGGAGGGAGAGGAAAGAGAGACGGGGGAAAGAGAGAGAGAAAAAAAGAAAGAGGGAGAAAGAGAGGGGGAGAGGAGAGAGAGAGAGAGAGAGAACTCATGCACAGCAGCCTCTATTTCTTTTTAATTAAACTTTTCAATCTAACTTCCCCCCCTTGTGCGCACGCAAGTTTTGTGGCTCCCAGTGTTTTCTTTTCTCTGGGAAACTGGTCCAAGTGGCTCTTTGAGTGTTTAAAGTTGCAGACCCCTGGTCTATATCTCTGAAGTATGACACAAACGTATATTTAAAGAATTTGTGGTGTAGCCTGCAACTTATGCATGTTTTCTTGGAATAAGCTTTCTTTAACAGAATGGCTCTTACTTCAAGGAACCATGCTTTAGGATTATGCTATACAAAATTTTAATCAGCTACTTAAATCAAATAGTAGAAACTTCTAATCTCACATCCCTCAAGATCAGAATTGGAACAGCATTAAAAAGTCTACATTTAACATGGATAGTTGCATGCACCAGTTCATGTTAGTGCACTCTTCAAACTAGTTTATGTACTGTACCTGTGGATAGCACACTGCCATGCTGCATGTTAATGAAAAAGATACAAGACAATTAGCTTTAAAACATTTATGAGAATAACTTGTGTGATATTCATTGCTGTAGCAGAGCTTGTAATCATGATTAAATATATTTTCCAATATATTTTCTAAAGTTCAAGTAATTATAACTGAATTCCTGTTTCCTTGACTTCAGGACTTTATCTATTTGAAAACATAAATTTTCTCCACAAATATATTGTACAATCAGCTTTTAGTTCTGAAATACTACCATATAAAAATCTTTACCAATTTCTTACCAATAATAATATACTGCAATTCTATAAGATAAATCCTTAGAAAGTTTAACTCCAAATATGACTTTCTTATTCACATTACTACAGAATATTTATAGAAACATTTTTCTTGTCCTGAAAAACATTTTGAAAATACAACAGTAGCATATTTGGAATAAAATAACATTTCTGGATTAACATAAATCGTACTTACGTCGTTTGGGGGAAATGGCCTGTAAACAGGCTGTTACAATATCACAGTTCCTTTGGACTTTATGTAGAAGTCTGTCCTTTTGTTTCAGAAGGCGAAGCAGTTTTGCTGACTGAACACAAATTCTGTAATTCAACTCCCATATTACTGTTGTCAATTCACTAATATCTGTCAAGAAAAGAAAAAAGGGCCAAAGGCTGCAATCTGCAACTTGAAAATCTATTTCCTTCTTTGATAATCAGTATGGCTTTCTTCAAAAGGGTCTTATCATTCTAGGTACCCCTGGTAAAATTCATAGCATGATTCTAAGATAATATATACTATAAAGTCTTATAAAAGAATACTGTAGAAAAATGATAGGTATCAATGTTATTATTTAGGATGACTCCTATGAAAAAAGCAAGGCAATGATTAACTGAAACCATATCCAAATTCTCAGGATAGCTTTGAACGTATTGTTTAAATTGGGATATGCATGCTTCATTATTGAACTATTACTAAGAAGGAAACTATAGAAATATTAGATTTGCTGAGTTTAATTGAAACTACAGGACATGAATAAACCTATTTATTATTGGCATTCAATACAATTTTTAGAGGATCTGAATTTTACCAATATGTAATTAAAATGTTTAAAATATTTATCAGCATAATTTTTAGAACTGCATGGATTTCAAATACTTTTACTCCAGGGTTGGTATGTATAGAACGGAACCTTAATTTATTGGCTCAATTTTATTTTACTATAGCTTGAATTTGAAATTTTCAAATATAAAATTCTAATTTAAGTTTTCTTTATATAGTGACATCATATGCCAGAAGATTTAGATGCTACATATAACCAAACACAATAAAACCCTGTGATACTTTTTACAGAATTCTACTTAATTAAATAAGGTTGTACTGGAAACTTTTTTTAAAATCTTCCATGCACTCATAAGGTATCTTCTAGTGGACAAAAACAGACATCAAACTGATTTAAGTTAGCAGATGGTATCTGTTCATGAACTTACTGTTGTTGTTGTTAATTGCGAAGTCGTGTCCGACCCATTGTGAACCCATGGACAATGTTCCTCCAGGTCTTCCTGTCCTCTACCATCTTCTGGAGTCCATTTAAGTTCACGCCTACTGCTTCAGTGACTCCATCCAGCTACCTCATTCTTTGTCGTCCCCTTCTTCTATTGCCCTCAATCTTTCCCAGCATTATGCCCTTCTCCAGTGAGTCCTTTCTTCTCATTAGGTAGCCAAAGTATTTGAGTTTCAACTTCAGGATCTGGCCTTCTAAAGAGCAGTCGGGATTGATCTCTTCTAGGACTGACCGGTTTGATCGCCTTGCAGTCCAGGAGACTCGCAGGAGTCTTCTCCAGCACCATAGTTCAAAGGCCTCAATTCTTTTGCACTCAGCCTTTTGTTATGGTCCAACTTTCACAGCCATACATTGCAACTGGGAAAACCATGGCCTTGACTATACATACTTTTGTTGGCAGGGTAATGTCTCTGCTTTTTAGTATGCTGTCTAGATTTGCCATAGCTTTCCTCCCCAGGAGCAAATGTCTTTTAATTTCTTGGCTGCAGTCCCCATCTGAGGTGATCTTGGAGCCCAGAAAAATAAAATCTGTCACTACCTCCATTTCTTCCCCATCTATTTGCCAGGAATTGAGAGGGCCGGATGCCATGATTTTGGTTTTCTTAATGTTGAGTTTCAAGCCAACTTTTGCACTCTCCTTCTTCACCCGCATCAAGAGGCTCTTTAGTTCCTCTTCACTTTCTGCCATTAGAGTGGTATCATCTGCATATCTTAGGTTGTTGATATTTCTCCCGGCAATCTTAATTCCAACTTTTGATTCATCTAGCCCTGCCTTTCTCATGATGTGCTCTGCATATAAGTTAAATAGGCAGGGCGACAGTATACAGCCTTGCCGGACTCCTTTTCCAATTTTGAACCAATCAGTGGTTCCGTGTTCGGTTCTCACTGTTGCTTCTTGACCCGCATATAGGTTTCTCAAGAGACAAATGAGATGGTCTGGTACTCCCATCTCTTTAAGAACTTGCCACAATTTGTTGTGATCCACACAATCAAAGGCTTTTGCATAGTCAATGAAGCAGAAGTAGATGTTTTTCTGGAACTCCCTAGCTTTCTCCATGATCCAGCGTATGTTGGCAATTTGATCTCTAGTTCCTCTGCCTCTTCGAAATCCTGCCTGTACTTCTGGTAGTTCTCGATCCACATACTGCTGGAGTCTAGCTTGTAGGATTTTAAGCATAACTTTACTAGCATGTGAAATGAGTGCAATAGTGCGATAGTTTGAACATTCTTTGGCATTGCCTTTCTTTGGAATTGGAATGTAAACTGACCTTTTCCAATCCTGTGGCCACTGTTGGGTTTTCCAAATTTGCTGGCAAATTGAGTGTAGCACTTTTACTGCATCGTCTTTTAAGATTTTGAATAACTCAGCTGGAATACTGTCACCTCCACTAGCTTTGTTGTTGCTCAGATTTTCTAAGGCCCATTTCACTTCACATTCTAGGATGTCTGGTTCGAGGTCAATGACCATCTCATTGTGGTTATCTGGGATGTTAAGCTCATTCTTGTATAGTTCTTCTGTGTAGTTTTGCCATCTCTTCGTAATCTCTTCTGCCTCTGTTAGGTCTCTGCCATTTTGGTCCTTTATCATGCCCATCTTTGCATGAAACGTTCCCTTCATATCTCCAATTTTCTTGAAGAGATCTCTGGTCCTCCCTATTCTGTTGTTTTCTTCTATTTCTTTGCACTGTTCATTTAAGAAGGCATTCTTATCTCTTCTAGCTACTCTCTGGAATTCTGCATTCAATTGGGTGTATCTTTCTCTTTCTCCTTTGCCTTTCGCTTCCCTTCTTTCCTCAGCTATTTGCAAAGCTTCCTCAGACAGCCATTTTGCTTTCTTGCATTTCTTTTTCTTTGGGATGGTTTTAGTTGCTACCTCTTGTACAATGTTGCGAACTTCCATCCATAGTTCTTCAGGCACTCTGTCTATCAGATCCAGTTCCTTAAATCTATTTGTCACCTCTACTGTATATTCATCAGGAATATGATTTAGTTCATACCTGAGTGGCCTAGTGCTTTTCCCTACTTTTTTCAATTTAAGCCTAAATTTTGCAATGAGAAGCTCATGATCTGAGCCACAGTCAGCTCCTGGTCTTGTTTTTACTGACTGTATAGAGCTTCTCCATCTTTGGCTGCAGAGTACATAGTCAATCTGATTTCTATGTTGACCGTCTGGTGATGTCCATGTGTAGAGCCGTCTCTTGGGTTGTTGGAAAAGAGTGTTTGTTATGACCATCGTATTCTCTTGACAAAATTCTATTAGCCTGTGCCCTGCTTCATTTTGTACTCCAAGGCCAAACTTGCCTGTTATTCCGGTTATCTTTTGGTTTCCTACCTTAGCATTCCAATCCCCCATGATGATAAGGACATCATTTTTTGCTGTTAATTCTATAAGGTGCTGTAGGCCTTCATAGAACCGGTCAATTTCATCCTCTTCAGCACCAGTGATTGGGGCATAGATTTGGACTATTGTGTGATACTGAATGGTTTGCCTTGGATTCGAATTGAGATCATTCTGTCATTTTGGGGGTTGTATCCCAGTATTGCTTTTCCTATTCTTTTATTGACTATGAAGGCTACTCCATTTCTTTTGAGGGATTCTTGCCCACAGTAGTATACCTGATGGTCATCTGAGTTAAATTCACCCATTCCTGTCCATTTTAGTTCACTGATTCCTAAGATGTTCAGTCTTGTCATCTCTTTTTTGACTACGTCTAGCTTGCCTTGATTCATGGATCTTACATTCCAGGTTCCTATGGAGAAAAAAATCTTTGCAGCATTGGACTTTCCTTTCACCACCAGATATATCCACAGCTGAGCGTCCTTTCGGCTTTGGCCCAGTCGCTTCATTCTTTCTGGCGCTACTAGTACTAGCCCTCTGCTCTCCCCCAGTAGCATATTGGACACCTTCTGACCTCAGGGGCTCATCTTCCAGCGTCATATCTTTTTGCCTTTTAGTACTGTTCATGGGGTTTTCATGGCAAAGATACTGGAGTGGTTTGCCATTTCCTTCTCCAGTGGATGACATTTTGTCAGAACTCTCTGCTATGACCTGTCCGTTTTGGGTGGCCCTGCACGGCATAGCTCATAGCTTCATTGAGTTACGCAAGCCCCTTTGCCACGACAAGGCAGTAATCCATTAAGGGGGAAATTACTGTAGTTAAAACAAATGAGGGGTTTGTCACTAATAAGTAACCGTAGATAATAGACATACTAAATCTGGTATCAAACTGTCATTCACTGATTAACAAAACCCAACACTTTTTATTTTTTAAAAAAAGCATAGCAACACACACAGCCAGGGAAAAAGAATATTTTTTACACCTAACAAAAATTATAGCACAAACTTTACTGAAAAGATACTTTGAAGGTTCAGTACTGAGTTTATAGTCTAGTGAAATATGTTAAATAACAAGAGGCTAATAGCAGAGCACTACTTTAAGTTTTCTATGCAATTCAAATTAATTAACTTCACTCAGAGAGAAAATTTCAGTTCTTTAGGGAAATTTGAGTGATCATACACATTTCTATCAGAAAGCTGATAATTCTTATCCTTTATAAAGTGTCTTTTCAGCATTCACATGGGCCATCTTGGCCCATGATCCTTGTAAAAATCTTGTTAGGATCACCATGTCACTGTTGCAGACAGAAGAAGGAATAGTTGCTTGCTTAATGTTTTTAAATATTTAAATCATCATCATTTAAAAAGACTTTCCATCAGTAAAAAGCAACCTGCCCAGAGGTTATAATTTTAAAAAAACAACACAAAAGAAAGCAATGAGAGAGAGAGAGAGAGAGAGAGAGAGAGAGAGAGAGAGAGAGAGAGAGAGAGAGAGGAAAATCCAGGTACCAATTCTTAAAGATCATAGCTTTGGTGAAATGTATATTGTGATTTGCATTAATACACAGTGTTAATGCTAAATTTTAATGGCTGCATTTCATTCATTTTTCTCCCTTTTGGGGGTGTGGAATGAGAATTTATATATGCAGGATAATGATGTTTTTTGCAAAAGAAAATAATCAGTCTTCAAGAAAACAACTTGGCTGATGGTAGGGGCAGAGATATTGGGAAAACTTCTCTTCTTAGTCCAAGGTGAGCTCTTTTTTTCATCCCACCTTTAGGGTAGGCAGGGACAATCTCTGCTTAACTGAAAGAAATTTGAGTACAAGAATAATGTTCAAAGCCAATCAGAAAACTAAGAAAATGAGATCCTATAAGAAACAAGAAAGGAAAATCTTGTTTTGACTGACATATGTCTCAATTAACTGAAACACTTCCTTCAAATAAGAGAGGATGGGGCAAATAAAGAAGCAGAATCAAGATTTAAACGGTGTTCATTTCTGCGAACCTCAAAACATTAGACTCTACTGTTTATTACCTTTTATCTCAAACCGAATTCCTACAGCTCTGCCATAAACTCACAACCATGACTGGGCATTTACCTATATTTTAGTGGGGCTCTGTGCCTTATCTTCCAGCAGAGCTCTGTTTATCACGATCACTTCATTTTTATCTTTTCTCTGCCAATTCCAGATGGGTCACATGTTTGCTTTCACTTTCACTTTTATTCCCAGAACGACCACCCAGCGCAATTGGACCGAGCCCAGCTCTTCTCTCAGTCAGAGAAGCCTGTTTCTGCCTTCGCTGTGCATATCAGCCGGGGGACTATTCCCCATGATAGGACGGCACGGGGTTCAGTGAGGAGAAACCTTCGCGGCATCCTCGGTCTGCTTTACCTTTCTGAGCCAGGTACTTCCTCTGGTGCCGCTGACCAGAGTTCCGCTGCAGCTCCTGCAGGACGCGGGATTCAGCGCTGCTGCCTCTCCCCCCGGGGAAAGCGTCGGAGCCGGCGGACGCCTCCGTGGACCTGTCTACGCTGTCGCGGTGGCGGAGGCGCGCCACGCTGTAGAGCTCGGTTAGCAGGTCACTCACCAGAGAGGAGGCGCGGCTGGCCCTTCTACTCCGGCCGAGCTCCGCCTCTTCGTCCTCCACCAAGCTGTCTGCATTGCTGCTTACTCTGCTCCGAACACATCTGCCTGTTTCTACTTCAGCGGCCTCCCTGTTGTCGCCCAAGTCGACCTCCGTGAGCTCCATTGGGCTTCTTCTCCGCGCTTCAGGCGCAACAGGGACACGCGCAGCTGCTACTATGAAGAGGTGAGCAACGCTTTCGCCGCCTGAATAGTTCTCAGGCCAGAGTTCCGGGTTTGTTCCATTCTCCACGGAACGGAGGTGGAAGAGGAAGGGAAATCTCCTATGTTCGACGAAGACCTGCGTTGGCAGAGCGTCACATCCCTCCCAGCCTCTATTAGACTGCGACACTCTCGGCTTGCATTCCTCACCCCTCTGGCAGGTAGTGGCTCCCAAACAATCAGCGCTCTGCACCTGTTGCCGGGAGCCAATCAGCTTTCTTCGAATCACCGGTCCTTTGCTAACTTCAAAGGGAGCCTGCCGCTGCAGTAATTGGGATCGGGCTGATTTTGCACTAACTAACCAGTCTGGGCTTTATCTAGATTAGAGCAAGTGATCCAGATGTCACACTGAAACTGGTACATGTAGCAAAAACAAATGATTATATTTCAGCTAATGGCTATGGCTGACCTGCATAATTTTGCAGAGGAAAAACCATACACCATTAAACAGTGAATGGACAGCAAAACAGTAGCTTTCCTTGCACAACATAAGCCAAGGTTAATTTAACAATATTTACTTAATGCAATTTCTCTGGATACATGCAACAAGTTAGGTTAAATTTGATTGGTCTAAGGTCTCCCAGCTGGTTTTCAATACTTAAAGCAGGACTAAGAATTCAGTCTACCAGTTTATAGTCTGGTATCTTAACCACTAGTTCTGATTGGCCAAATTATAATGCAGCACACTGTGTAAATCCAGCCAATGTGATAGTTTAGTTTGTGTTGTCTAAATTCAGATTATCAAGTTTATCGTGAGTAAATTAATAAAGGATAAGCACATTGTAAAAGCACAGCCACTGCCATAAACTAAACCATAAACATAGGCAAACTTCATGCCAGCTAAACATAAGCAAAACATTTTATGTGCACAAAAGTTATTTCTACCATCCAGAAGTATCCACCTATGATATTTCATTTATAAAACATGCTTGAAATAGGAATGCTTAAGTTACACAAGCAAAATATACTAACCCATAATTTAAACAGTTTATTCAACCCAACATTTAAAAATTGTGTGACATACTGGATCATAAAGTGATCATACTTGGCTAATGTGTGGATAAAGCATTTCTTATAAATACAGATCTTTTAAAGAAAAAAAAATCAAAATTTTATACATTGACAAAATTAAAAACAAGCATCACTTAAAGCAGGGGTGTCAAACTGCTGGCACACAGGTCGGATGCGTCATGCTGAAACCGTGCCCACCCCATTGCTGACAATGGGGAAAAAGTCACGATACGTCGCTACACATCACGTGACATTGCAAGTTTGACACCCCTGACTTAAAGTCTGGATCATAATTTTATCTGTTTCATGGCAACATAAAACCTCACCTTTCATGCAATTTCTACTTCATCCTCAGTTTAAGGCTGGGTTTACAAATGCATTGAATCCCAGATTAACCTAATGAGTTGTGTTTAATATGTTATGCAGACTTTAACTATGGTTTGCTCTGTACAGTTCTTTAATCAGAAGTAACTATCATGCAAATACAGCCTATGAGTTATTACTCCAAGCATATATCTTGATTAGAAGAATAACAGTCCAGGAAATCTCCATTTATGACTTGATTTTTTTCATGGCTGCATTAAGCTGATTAAATAAAGAATGCCTAACAGCTATAGAACTTATTTGCAACTTATAGCACTGCAACTACTTGAAGTATACACAGTTCTCCATTCTTCATGGGTACTTCTGGCTATAATATGCTGGTTAATTACACTAGTAAAATAATGAAAAGATTTTTGCTTTGTTTGGCAACATTCAAGATGGTTTAGCATGCAACTGCTATTATTAAACTAAAATAAACTGAATCTTTACATAACATTTTAAAAATGTTTTTCTTAATTACTTTTCTGCACTTTTTTTTAGCAGGAGTATCTAACATCCCAGAAGACAAACACAGGATCCAAAAAGATCTTGACAAACTTGAACAATAGGCACTATCCAACAAAATGAGTTTCAATGTGAAGAAAAGTTTTACATTTAGGCAGGAAAAATCAAAGGTACAAGTACAGATTGAGCAAGACCTGGCTTAAAAACAGTAACTGTGAGAGGGACTTTGGAGTCTTAGTAGACAATCACTTAACCATGAGCCAGCAGCCAAAAAGGCTAATACAATCCTGGGTTGTATAAACAGAGGCATAGAATCAAGATCATGCAAGGTATTAGTAGCGCTTTATAAAACCCTAGTAAGACCACACCTGGAATATTGCAGCCAATTTTGGTCACCATATCACAAAAAAGATGTTGAGAGTTTGAAAAAAAAAATCAGAGAAGAGCAACTAAGATGATCAAAGGCCTGGAGACTAAAACATACAAAGAATGGCTGCAGGTTTGGCTAGTCTGAAGAAAAGAAGACATAGGGGAGACATGATAGCAGTATTCCAGTATTTGAGGGGCTGCCACAAAGAAGAATGGATTATTCACCAACGCACCAGAGGGCAGAACAAGAAACAATGGTTGGAAACCGATCAAAAAGAGAAGCAACCTGGAATTAAGGACAATTAACTAGTGGAGTAGCTTGCCCCCAGAAATTGTGGGTGCTCCATCACTGGAGATTTTTAAAAAGAGGCTAGTCACTTGTCTGAGATGGCACAGGTTCTCCTGCTTGAGCAGGGGGCTGGACTAGAAGGACTCCAAGGTCCCTTCCAACTCTATTCTATTCCAAGAATGAAAAACCAGCGACATTTTTCAATAAATCAGATTTTAAGTAGAATTCATAAACAATTATCATGTTGCAACAGAACAAAATAGTCTGAAATTTTAATAATTTATGAACTTATGTATGTTTTGGGTCACTGCAGCCATTATCATAAGTTATAAACATATACATCTATAGCTAAATGTGAAAATTGTAACCAGTGTGATCAGACAGATATGAAGGGTTGCAATGTCCACCATTAAAGTTGTTGGATACAAATTAGCTACGATATTACTAATTTCACAGGTCTACGGAGATTCTCAGTGATCCAGATTATAGTTATCCCACAGTGCTTTTTCACAGAAAACTGGACTTTCCTGTTTTCCTTTGAACCTGTTTTGTTTCTCAACCAAGAAGCTTCTTTAGCTCTGACTGGATGGTGGGGAATGGAAGGATTTATACTCCTTGCAGACAGCTGGTCATTTGCATTCTTAGAGAGCTGCTGAGACCACCTAATTTTACAGGTCTGTTTGTAACTATTGTTTTCTTGTTTTCTTTTTAAAAAACATTTTGTTCCATGCTTTGGTAAAAGATATTACAGTAATACATCACTGTTCTGATGATTGATGTGCTTCAAAGCTGAGACATTCAGCCCCTAAACAGGAGATAGAACTCAACGTCTTAACATCAATGAAATCCCGACACAGCTCTTGGCGAACTTCCCTGGAGGAAATCCGACGCCTGGAACAATCGGAGCCAATCACAACCGGAGCGCGGCAGCAACGCAGAGCGACTGCATTGACCCGAAGCGCATTTACGGCCTTCGCGGAAGTTGCCGGAAGTCTCCAGGTCACGTGAACCTGATTTGGCTTCGTCCTTCACCCTATCAGAGGAGAGGGAAGGAGAGGAGGCGGGGAGAAAGAGAAATAAGGAAGTACCCTTGTCTCGCGACTGTCTTTCGCGGTCCGGTGCTCTTCCTCCTCTCTTCTTTCCCTTCCGTTCGCTCCTAGCTCGGATGTAAGGATGGCTCAAGCTTCCCCGGTTCTGGCTCGGCCTTTGGTGTTCCTGCTGGTCCTCGGTTCCACTGCTTGGGTCGGCGCTGAAGCAGGAGCAGCTGGGCTCAGTGGGGATCGGAAACCCAATGTAGTGCTGATTCTGACAGACGACCAGGACGTCTACCTTGGGGGAATGGTAGCTTTGCTCTTGTTCTACGCGTTGTGTGGATGGGAGAGGGGGAGATGGACCCTCGGATAGCAGGAGAGGCGAATGCGGGTGGTTCGGAGAGGTTCCGATGCGATACTGAGGAAAGCGCAGAAAAGACCCGTCATCTTTGAGGGAGGGGAGAAAGCACTCTGGAACGACCTCTGTGGCCACAGATACCCAGGACGGAGTGTCCTGATAATACGTCTCTTTCTGCAGCTTGCAGAGGAGGAAGGGCACTTTGGAACCCAGTTCTGAGTAAACGTGCATGAATATGGGAAAGGGAAACGGGGGAGACAACTGAAGCCGCCTGTAACCTGGAACTTATTGAATAAAGGAAGTTACCGTTTGTTAGGTCGGTCCGGGGATACTTTGGATTGAAGTTGTCCGACAATCAAGAGAGTAACAAACACACACCCACATTAGACTTCGTGTGTGATTGTTTCTCTATTCCAGGAAGGGATTTAAAAAGAGCCTCTTACTATACTTTAAAAAGAGTTGCAACTGTAGTGGTCTACAATGCCGGCATGCATCTGTAGTGGAACCAATCAAAATAAGTGTTTAGAGACATTCCCACTTTCCGAGTAAGGGCCACAGTCACATCTTTTGGTATTTAGCAGGCACTGCTCTAGAATAAAGCAAGCCCATTTGCAGCAGCTGATTCTGAGTACTGTAATCTAAAAGGAAGGAAATTGTTTAATGTATGGGTTGTGCTCTTATTCCTTAGCAGAAATGTTTATGGGATTTTCGGCGTCAAGGTTTGTTATTACATTCTTTGGGGAATGAACAATATCTGGTCTGTGCTTCAGGTTCAGGGCTCATGTTATTTTTTTTTAATTGAAAAGTTTTATAAAAATTACAGTATACACCCCAAAACCCACCCACCCTAAACCCTCCTCCCTCCCCCACTTCCCAGAGCTGAGTACAGGGTTACAGATATAATAATCAAACTCTAACATTAACCAACTATATAAATAACCAAGTCCATAATGCGCTTTAACTCACCTTTAACATAGGTATAAACAAGTTAAAAATAAACATAATATAAACAAGTCAATATTATTAAACAATACAATATCCAAATAGTTAAACAATACTAATACTAAAAATAATAATAAAACTAATAAAAATTCTACTATAATAAACTATTAATAATAATACTCTAAAATTTACTCATAAACTAAATGGAACTTTTTAGTCCCATATTTATTCTGAATATAATCTATCCATCTTCTCCAGACCGAAATATATCTTTCTTGTGAATGATCCTTCAAGTAAGCAGAAATTTTCACCATTTCTGCTAAATTTGACACTTTAAGCATCCATTCTTCTATAGTAGGCAAACAATCCTTCTTCTAATATTGCCCTACCAATAACCTTGCAGCTGTTAGCAAATTCAACATCAAGTTAATTTCTTTAGCATCAGGGCTCATGTTATTTAAAATACTAGCTGAGTCCTAAAGCAATCTTTGAATATTTTAAACTATATTCTATGGAAACTGGAAAGACAAAAAATCCAGAATATTTATTGAATTAACCATCAGCATTGGCCATGAATGACATTTTTCTGAAATATATTTTCTAAAAGGTTTGTTTACTACTTACTGTTCTCATTACTGACTAATGATTGGGTAAAGCACGTAATTCCACTATTGTAACATGTTAACAGCACCTGCTTTGCATTACTATGCTTGTTCCTAAGAAAGAGAATATCTCTGAGCAGAAACCAGCTGGTTTTCCATGCATGAATTTAATATACTGTAGTAGTTATGGAATGATTTGTTTCAGATTTTGAGATTTCAGTACTAAAACAATATTGGCTTCTTAGTCTGCAATTATAAAGTTTTATTGTTGAAGATTAAACCATGCAACATCAAACAATTCTGGCTTAGCTGGAACACTGTATATGCAGCTCCTCAAAATGTGTAGTTGGGAAAAATTCTAGCATATGCAGTGTTATTCTTATTAAATCCTAAGATTGCAGTCATGAAATCTTCCTTTTACATTGTACGATTGTTTATATATTTCCTTTATTGCAGACACCTTTGAAAAAGACCAATGCTCTTATTGCAGAAATGGGTGTAACTTTCTCAAATGCAGTAAGTACATAATTTGTGGTGGGTTTTGCAAAATTGATTCTGTAAGAAAAGACAGAAGATAACTGACTCAAGGCATGAATAATTAAAGTCAAGAAAAGGGCTGGGCAGAATTTTAGTGTTCCAACAATTTTGTGCCCTAGTAAGTAAGCTAGCTTGTAAATATTTTTGTTTGAAAAGGATATTATAGAGCCATAGGACCTCTAGAACAGAGGTCCCCAACCTTTTGGGCACCAGGGACTGGTTATGTGGAGAGAAGTTTTTCCACGGACCAGAGGAGCTGTGGTTTTGTGTGCTGCCTGAATCCTGTGGATGGGGCTTTCCTTGTTCATGTTGACCGGTTGTTGGCATGCCATGGCCCTGGTCCACGGACCGGGAGTTGGGGACCCCTGCTCTAGAAACTATAATGAAATCACTGTGGTGCAGAATTGCCATCTCTAATACTTTGCTGAAATAAAATATTGGGAAAATCTTATTTTCTAGCTAGGCGACACCAGACAGCTCTTTGGGCTATTCGTTAGATTTGGGCATTGTTTTAATTAGGTTTTCTGATTTCTATCAACATTAAAGTTTACTTAGTAATTTTTCCTTAATTATGGACATTCTGCATGTTTACAGTATAATCATCTAGGTGGCAGTTAAGCTGTTAACAAAGACTGATAGGAATTTCATTTTTCTTTTTATGTTGGTTGGAGATATACAATGTCTTCAAATACTTTTGACATGAATGGTGGAAATTTTTTGTTCTTCCTAGAAATTTAGTCACAAAGATGAGGGGATGGGGAGAGGCAGGTTAGGTCGATTTCTTAATGTTTGGCTTATGCTATCCCTCACTACTGGATGTATCCTTCCTGTTGGTTATCATCTCAAACTACTGGGAAAGGATTTTAGGGGACTTGGAGTGCAAGTGTTGCTATACAAACCCAAACAGCTTTGGTTATTTAAGCCAAGGGTCCCCAACCTGTGGGCTGTGGCCCACTGTCGGGCCGCGGCTACTTGGCCACCGGGCCACATGAAGGGATGGCCAGTGCATGCACTCATGCCCCCACACTTGCACTAGTGCCACCCCAAGCATCCCATTGGCACTAGCACCATCCCACCCCGAGCGCCCCACCGGCACTAGCACCGCCCCAAGCATCCTGCCAGCACTAGCGCTGCCTCAAGCATCCCGTCGACACTAGCGCCGCCCCATCCCTGAGCATCCCACTGGCACTAGCCCCGCCCCGAGCATCCCACTGGCACTAGCACCACCCCACCCCGAGCATCCCATCGGTACTAGCACCGCCCCACCCCCGAGTGTCCCACCAGAACTAGCACTGTACCAAACATCCTGCCAGTGCTAGCGCCATCCTGCCCCAGAGTGTCCCACCGGCACTAATGCCGCCCATAGCGTCCCGCCAGCACTAGCGCTGCCCCATTTGCATGTGTGGATGCGCTCACATGCGGCCACTTATGTATCCGCATGCATTTGGCCATTTGCATATTTGCATGCACTCACATGTAGCCCATTTTTGTACATGTGTGGTGCATTTGCACGTGCACACATAGCGGTGCCTGCCTCCCTTTCCGGGGCACCAAATCAAAAAGGTTGGTGACCTCTGGTTTATGCCATGTGGGAGAACTTTATCCATTCCAATGCTCAAAGTATGTCTTCTGAGATTAACTAGAGCACTTCAGGATGTTTCAATATTTTTTGAAGAGTTTGCAATTTAGACAGTGTTTTGGTTTAGCAGTATTATTTGAAGTGCTGTGTTCTATCACCTTATGAAAGATAGTGTTCCAGAACCTAGTTAAAATTTGGCAGTAAACTGGAAAAAATGCTAAAATATTCCTTAAATATGTGACATTTGATTCTTATTTTCTGTGTTGTTAAAATATTTTTGCAATAAAGATCTTGTTCATTACAGTCATGAGGGAACTGCAATTCTCACTAGTTCTAATCTTTCACTAAATGTAAAATTAAAATAATTACTAGGTTATAATATCAAGCAAAGAGTAATAAAGAGTTCTCTAGTGTTGCCTAGCTAGAAAATAAGATTTTTCCAACATTTTATTTCAGCAAAATATTAGAGAAAGCAATTCTGCACCACAGTGACTTTATTATATTTTCTAGAGGTTCTATGGCTCTATAAATATCCTTTTCAAATGTAAAAAAATCATAACTGTATTTACAAGCAAGCTGATTACTAGGACACAGAATTGTTGGAACATTAAGACAAAAGTTCTGCCCAGCTCTTTCCACTATTAATATATATTAGTGAAAGGTATTTATTTTGGTGAGTGCCCTATTACTTTTGGGATATCTGGATATTATGTCATCAAATATTTTAAAATGTATTTGAATATTGTATGTAGAATAGTTTTAGAAATTTTATGGAAACTACTAAACCCACAAATAGTAAGACCTGCAATTACCAATCTGTTTATATTAATTTGCTTATAAAAGTTATAGACTGAAATGTAGGGATGCAGGAAATTAGTGTTGTATTATCTAATTTCTATAATCATTTTTTTATGTAGTATGTACCCAGTGCACTATGCTGTCCTAGTAGAGCCAGCATCTTGACAGGAAAATATCCACATAATCATCATGTTGTAAATAATACTTTGGAAGGAAATTGCAGCAGCAAATCCTGGCAGAAGATTCAGGAGCCATATACCTTTCCAGTTCTACTCAAGTCTGAGTGTGGCTATCAAACATTTTTTGCTGGAAAATACTTGAATGAGGTATGTTTATATATGATATATATTGTTTGAAATACCCATTTTAAAAATGTTTTTGCATATATAAAATCTCTGATTGCACAAGGAAAATAGAATATCTTTGGATTAATCTAAATAATCTAAATATTACATATAGAGAGAGGAAATCATGCTCCTGAAAATTAAGCTATAAAATTAAGAGTATGTATTAATGTAAGAGCAAGAATTCATACAGTACTTAAATAAAAAGGGAATTAGTTGAATTGCCTTATTTTAAAATCTGACCAATTATCATAAATATATGTTATCTAAATGTGAGAGAGTTTGTGTGATACATTTTGTGGCATTCAGTGGAGAATGATCAGCCACTTGTTCTTAAGAGCCTACTTATAATTGAACTAATGGAAGGTGAGCATCAGAAGCTATCTTTCCCCAAGAAAATGAGTGCTACTTTTAATAGTGAAGCTCTTGATTAAATCATTTGATGGTTATGGAATCTATAAGCCTATATGAGATTAGGCAGTTATATGCAAACTCTCAATATGTGCATGGATTGCTTTTTGCAACTGAAAAAAAAATCTACATGAAGAAAACTTACTTTACCTTAAAGCTTTATATTTCTTAGATCAGATAGCTATGGTATACTCTTCAAACATCTTCTAGGTTTGGGTACTCTGTTGTTGGTACTCTTAAGATTTTTTTTTTTTTTTTGCTGAGAAAATGAGAAAACAAGCTTAATATTAGATTTTTCTTTTTCCAGTATGGAGCAGAAGATGCAGGAGGACTTGGCCATGTTCCTCCTGGATGGAGTTTTTGGTATGCCTTGGTAAGTATAAAAGAACATATGTATGTCTTTCTTTCTCCTTCCTCCTTCCTCATTGTCTTTCCACTGCAGGATGAAGGCCCCTTCCGCATGGTCCTGAGCTTTCTTTTGCCAATTGGGCCCACAATACTTGCTGATGTAGTCAATCCATCTTGTTTTAGTTCTCTTTCGTGGACACTTTTTTTCTACGATTGCCTTGGTCCAATTGCCATCAGTTCTTTCTATATGAGCAGCCCATTTCTATTTCAATTCTTTTACTCTCTTGATGATATTGTATACTTTTATTTGTTCTCTAATCCATGTGCAGGTCTTTCTAACTTATCCTGTAATGCTGAGCATATATCTTTCCATAGCTCTTTGCACCACTTGTAGCTTTTGTATCGCTTATGAGGCTAGTGTCCATGTTTTACTAGCATGTTAGAGCAGGTAGCACACATGGATCGAAAACTTTTCAGGCATATAGGGAGAGGTTGTTTTTGAAAATTATGTTTAGCTTGCCGAATCCTGCCAACCACGTTTAACACACCGTTCAATTTCCTTTATTGTATCACCTTCCAATGAGATCCATTGGCTGAGCTATATGAAATGATCTACTACATCTAGTTCTTCTCCAGATATAATTTTTTTTCTTTCTTTGGTGAATTTATTAAACATAACCTGGCTCTTTTTCAGGTTTATTTTTAAGCCAAATGGTTCTTCTGCTTCATGCAGCTTTTTTATATGTCTTTGTAGCTCTTCTGGGTCTTGTGAGAAGAGAACATCATCTGCAAATCTTAAATTATTTAAATAGACACCATTAATTTTTTTTAATGAAGAAATTTTATTGTTTTTTTCATTTTTACATAAAAGTGCTTGAGAAACAACGTGGTGATTGGGCTATCAATTATCCAAGAACAAAATCATATATATATATCACACAGATTAATTTCTTAAAAGTTCCCTCTCTATTTCCCACATATTATTTTACCAATTAAAATTATTACATTTGTAAAAAAGCTCAATCAATCCAATCAGTCATCAATCACACTTCAATTATAAGAATCCAAGTCCTGTTTTTAAGCTTTACTATTTTGAAAATCACCATATTCCAGTTAAGCTTATATAGACATATTAACGCTTCAGGCATCCCTCATTTCTCTTTTCCCTATCATTGCTCAAACTAATACATCATTTATTAATACTATTACTTCTTTTATTACAAATACCTCCTCTTCTCCCTCTATTACAAAATAGTTGTCTTGGTTAAGATAAAGATATCAATTGAAAAAACTACATTTCCGTCTATTTTAAATATATATTCTATCAATCAATTAAGTAAAATTTACCCCTCCAACTACTTGTCATCTCTAATACCAAATATTGTTACAGAAAATATCCTTTTACAAAATTACCTATTTCATTTGTTATTAAAACAATCCAAGTGTCAACAACCTTTTTAACCCATTCAGTGGAATTTTAAGCCACATTTTTAAACCTAATTCTAGCTTTCTTTCTATGCCAAACCAGTTTCCATAATAAAGCCTCTGCATCATCAAACCTCAACATTTGAGTAAAGCTATTTCTCAGTACATCAAAATAGTCAAAGTTCTCTTCTCTTTCTTCCAATGTTGTCTGAATAGTATAGTCAATTTTATTCCTTATTGTAGTTGCTAGTTGATTGTCCACATTATCATAATTTTCAATAACTTGTACCTGAATGTCAAGCTCTGTTATTTTGGGGGGATCAAATAGCTCAGTTAATGTTATTCTTTGATCATCAATGTTCTCCATAGGTCGTAAATAGGATTGTGTAGAATTAATTTGCTCAGTAGTTTCTATTGTAAGTTCATAATTAAATTGTAAGTGCAGTTCCTCTGTCTCGTTCAGTTGTATATCTTGTTGAGTAGGAACCTCTCTAGGGTTACTCTGTTCTTGCTCTGTTATTCTTTGGTCTATAGTTTGAACCGATGGTTGAAAGTCAATTTGTGGTTCTCTTTGATTTTTCTCCAGGATTTGATATAAGCTTTCATATAGTTTGTAGTTTCAAAATCTTTTCCAATATAAGTTCATAGTCAAGCTGTGGATAAAATTCCTCCTTTTCAATGGTGAAATAGTCTTTGATCAAGAATAGGCTTTGATCTTTTAGTGGAGGCTATATTTCAAAAAGGTCAAGCAAATATCCACCTCCAAAATTCTAATAAGCAAATTCACCACAGCTGTTGCAAATCTTTTATCTTTTCCCTTTTGTTGTCATTTGAAGGTCAAATTCATCTTCAAATAGCAAAAGAAAATACAGTTGTAATGGCACTTTTTGCCACAAGATGTCCTCAGTGGACTGTAAACTCTTTCTTCCAAATAGGTAAAAATTTATCTCTTTCGGGGAAACAGAAAAAGCAAAAGCAAGTATCTCCGGTATAATAGATAAAGTAAAAAATATAGCGTTTCTTTTTTATTTTTTTCACGGCCCCTGGGTATCCAAAGAGAAAAATCAAGTAGTCAATAAAACTTTAACTATTTTAGTTCTTTTAAAACTTTCTTTCCCAAGTAGACAGATGCTGCTCTCTTAAGACAGGGAAGTGATCAAAAACTTTTTACAGGCAAATAGACAGAGAGAGGGAGAAAGGTCTCACCCAGATTCACCATGGTGATTCTTTATGCTTAAATGATTTTCGGCTGGTGCAACTAAGTGATCGGCCATTTTACTGGCCGATCTTCTTCTCTGTCGGCCCTACAGAGTTAGTTCGGACTGCAGGGGGAGCCGCTGCTCTACTGCAGCCGAGCAAAAGCCTCCTCAACAGTAGTCACCCCTCCAGGGTGACTTAAGACCCGCATAAGGGTCTACCGGTGGAGGGAAAAGAGCTGATGAAGAGAGGTCTCTTCATGCGACTGAACGTGCCGCAATCCGGAAGCGGAAGTCACCATTAATTTTTATTCCATGTTTTGCCCAGTCTAGTTTGCGAAATACTTATTCAAGGCAGACTGAGAAAAGCATAGGTGATACTGTATCTTCTTGTCATATACCTCGTTCTATGTTGATTTCCACTTCAAGACCATTAAGGCAAATTGTTGCCATTGTTTTTTCATATATTGATTGTACTATGTACTTATGTAAGCAGTGTCTATGCCTTGATTGAGCAATGCATTAATTATTGCTTGCTGGAATACTGAATCAAATCCTTTTCGTAGTCATGAAAGCCATGCACAGAGGCATGTTGTACTCGGTGTGCCCTTCAATGACTTACTGAACAACCTGGATGTGATCCATTGTGTTGTAGTCACTTCTGAACCCTGCTTGGTCCTTTGGCTGTGCATCATTTAATGTTGTCAATATTCTTTTTGCTATTATCTTGGTGAAAACCTTGTAGATGACTGAAAGGAGGCTTATTGGGCAGTAGTTCTTTAAATCATTGTGGGCTCCTTTCTTGTATATAAGAATCACTTCAGCATTTTTCTTCTCAGGCATCTCAAGTATAGTTTTGCTAGTATCTTGTGTAAATTGTGACCATCAGCTTTCAGCATTTCAACCAAACACAGTCATTTCCCAAAGCTCTTTATGAATGTTGTTACTTTTGAATGATCTTAATCTTTGTATAGCTCTGAATAGAATTTTCCAATTATTTCTAACATTTCCTTTCTTGTTCTACACACAGAGCCATCTTCTTGTTTTAATGCAAAAACCTTCTTTCTTGTATTTATAAGCTTGCATTTTGCTCTATTAATCTCTTTTCAATTGCCTTTTTCATATATAAAACTGGAAGTGTCTTGGCGACGTTTCGACGAAGTCCCATTCGTCATCTTCAGGCTGGTATTTTCAGCTTCGTGCTTCGAGGAACAATGTGTGGTCTTAGCTGTTTCTTTCTTTTAACTGCCAGTGGGGGTATGAACTGATTGGGTGGGAGCTTGGCTGTGTTCTGATTGGGTGGAGGTGTGTTCTGATTGGTTAGGGGCTTGGCTGTGCTCTGATTGGCTGAGGGGTTGGCTGTACTCTGATTGGCTGGGGGGTTGGCTGTGCTCTGATTGGCTGGGGCAGTTTTCTGTTTGGGTGGGGGCTTTGTTGTGCTCAGGTTAGTCTGAGTTGCAGGGGGGTTTAAGATGATGGGCTGCCTTGCTAATTTTTGGTTTTGCGTTTGTGGTCATGCCTCATCTTCATGGTGGGTGTCAGTTTGCTTCATGTATGGATTAGAGGGGTTTAAAGTGACTAATGATGCAGCTGTGGTCTGGCTTCTGGTTTGTGGTCGTGCCTCATCATCGGTGTGGCTTTGGATTTGCTTTTTGCGTGGATGTGTGGTTGTGACATCCTGTGTGGTTTTTGTGAGTGTGGGTCTGGTGTCATTTTTTGTGTTAGGGAGTCATTTGTCAATAAGCGCAATATGAAATCCCATGTACTGCTTGTCCCAACACATACATCGGACAAACCAACAGAAGAATAAGTGCACGCATTGAAGAACATAAGAACTCAGTCAAAAAAGAGGAACAAACATCTTCCCTGGTCCAACACCTTAAAGCCACAGGACATGAAATTGACTTTAAAAATACCAGAACCATTGCCAAAAGTGAACATTTTAATAACAGAATAATCAGAGAAGCCATCGAGATAGAAAAACGCCCACACAGCATGAACAAACGAGATGATACCTCCCGCCTACCAGCCATTTGGAAACCCACCCTTATTGACAAACGAGTCCCTAACACAAAGAATGACACCAGACCCACACTCACGAAAGCCACACAGGATGTCACTACTACACATCCATGCAAAAAGCAAACCCTAACTCACACCGATGATGAGGCACGACCACAGACCAGAAGCCAGACCACAGCTGCATCATTAGCCACTTTAAACCCCTCCAATCCATACATGAAGCAAACTGACACCCACCATGAAGATAAGGCACGACCATGAACGCGAAGCCAAACAACAGCAACGCAGCTCACCATCTTAACCCTCCCTGCAACTGAGACTAACCTGAGCACAACAAAGCCCCCACCCAAACAGAACACTCCCCCAGCCAATCAAAGCACAGCCAACCCCCCATCCAATCAGAGCACAGCCAAGCCCCTAACCAATCAGAACACACCTCCACCTAATCAGAACACAGCCAAGCTCCCATCCAATCAGTTCATACCCCCACTGGCAGTTAAAAAGAAGAAACAGCTACGATCACACATTGCTCCTAGAAGCACGAAGCCGAAAACACCAGCCTGAAGATGACGAATGGGATTTCGTCGAAATGTCGCCAAGACCTATATATATATACACACATACATACATACATACATACATACATACATACATACATACACACATACACATACACATATACATAAAAAGATAGGTATTATTAAGAATGGGACAATACCTATGTGTTTATTGCCCAATTCTGTTATAAATAAATTTGTATATATTGAATATTTAAGATTGATATCTGCTATGATTTAAAGTTGCCTCTTTGTAACTTAAAGATATTATGTCAACAACAGTCTTGTGTGACTAATTCAGGCAAGATTATAAGAATTCCGGTTTATTCAGATTAAGTATAGTGGTAGATGCTTCCTGATTGATAGTGCTTAATTGTTAAATCAGAAAACCTCTTCCTGCAAGTTCTTTTAGTATTATATCTGAATTTGTAGCCTTAGTTTGATTTGCTCAAAGCCAGAATCATTACACAGAATTTATTTTAGGTTGGTAAGATTTTAGATGATTAGGGAGAAATAATGTCATAATTCAGACATAATATGACAAACCAGTTGGGAGCAATTGAAAGGCATATATGAGAATTTAGCTCAATAAGCCAACGTTCTAAAAAATATTGGTTTTGTTCTATTATTGTCTCTTTCCTGGGCATAAACATTGTATTTTTATTTTCTTATGTTAGGAAAAAAACTCTAAATATTATAACTACACACTTTCAGTAAATGGAAAAGCACGCAAGCATGGTGCGAACTACAGCATGGATTACCTGACAGATGTATTGGTAAGAATTTTTCAACTAGTTTTAGCATGTTTATTTGTTCTAGTAGCATACTGAATGCTAACAAATTTGTTATGCACAGATTTCAGTATAGTAGATTTTACTGTAGTCCCTCTAACGTTATGCCATAATCCAGTTATCTAAGTTAAAATGATGCAAAATATTGTTTTGCTATACAGTCCTAATACAGCTATCAGTCTGGAAATAACATATTGCTGAAAATGTTCACAGTATGATGATAAGAATGAAATCCCGCAAATAAAATCCTAACTCTTAAGGGCATGTCTCATTGTCCTTATGAAATTATTCAGGAGACGAATTTGCTCCACATCTCCTTGTAGTTCCTAGTTTTCTATGCTATTATTTTTTTCGGATATCAAGGCATTCCTGAATCTTCCCAAGGTTATCCTCATCATCACTTTATTGCAGTTTTATATCCAGGATCCATAGGATTGTATCTCTTCTTTACACAATTTAATCCTTGAATTACTATAACTGAAGATCAGGAGTTTTGCCTTGCAATGTTTTATTTATTTCTTAGTTTGAAAGCTAAACACAAGACATTTAAAATAAATGTAATGGCTTGTGAATTTGAAGTATTCTCTTAGAGACACCTGTTTCTGATTCAGTATGATAATGAGTAAATAAATTAATAAGCATCTGCTTTCAGGCTAATATGTCCTTGGATTTTCTGGAATATAAATCCAGCTTTGAGCCATTTTTCATGATGATAGCAACTCCAGCACCGCATTCACCTTGGATAGCTGCTCCACAGTATAAGAAGAATTTTGAGAATGTCAGTGCTCCAAGAAATAATAACTTCAATATCCATGGAAAGGTATAGATTCTGGATCTTTTACAGATACTGTTGTTAGTATTTGCTAGATATTTTTAATAAATCTCTGCTTTAATTTCATGACCTTAGAATATATGTAGCAGCAAATATATGTAATACCAAAACTCTTTTTTTAATTCTTAGGTTTTGTTTACACTGGATATTCTCCCACTAGAATATTACATGTTTTTGTCACTTCATTTCATTTTTTGCCACCTGATACATATGTCTCTCTCCATACTTTGTTCTTTTGACTAATTTATTTTTAATAACTTTGACTACATCCTTTTACCTAGCATTCTGACACAGATTTGTTAATCTGTATCCAAAGCATCTGCAGTGATCTTGGAGCCCAGGAAAATAAAATCTGTCACTACCTCCATTTCTTTCCCATCTATTTGCCAGGAATTGAAAAGGCTGGATGCCATGATTTTAGTTTTCTTAATGTTGAGTTTCAAGCCAACTTTTGCACTCTCCTTCTTCACCTGCATCAAGAGGCTCTTTAGTTCCTCTTCACTTTCTGCCATTAGAGTGGTATCATCTGCACATCTTAGGCTGTTGATATTTCTCCCGACAATCTTAATTCCAACTTTTGATTCATCTAGCCTGCCTTTCTCATGATGTGCTCTGCATATAAATTAAATAGGCAGGGCGACAGTATACAGCCTTGCCGGACTCCTTTCCCAATTTTGAACCAATCAGTGGTTCCATGTTCCAGTTCTTGACCCACATATAGGTTTCTCAAGAGACAAATAAGATGGTCTGGTACTCCCATCTCTTTAAGAACTTGTCACAATTTGTTGTGATCCACACAATCAAAGACTTTAGCATAGTCAATGAAGCAGAAGTAGATGTTTTTCTGGAACTCCCTAGCTTTCTCCATGATCCAGCATATGTTGGCAATTTGATCTCTAGTTCCTCTGCCTCTTCGAAATCCTGCCTGTACTTCTGGTAGTTCTCGATCCACATATTGTTGAAGTCTAGCTTGTAGGATTTTAAGCATAACTTTACTAGCATGTGAAATGAGTGCAATGGTGCGATAGTTTGAACATTCTTTGGCATTGCCTTTCTTTGGAATTGGAATGTAAACTGACCTTTTCCAATCCTGTGGCCAATGTTGAGTTTTCCAAATTTGCTGGCAAATTGAGTGTAGCACTTTTACTGCATCGTCTTTTAAGATTTTGAATAGCTCAGCTGGAATACTGTCACCTCCACTAGCTTTGTTGTTGCTCAGATTTCCTAATGCCCATTTCACTTCACATTCTAGGATGTCTGGCTCGAAGTCAGTGACCACCCCATCATGGTTATCTGGGACGTTAAGCTCATTATTGTATAGTTCTTCTGTGTAATTATGCCACTTCTTCTTAATCTCTTCTGCCTGTTAGGTCCTGCCATTTTGGTCCTTTATCATGCACATCTTTGCATGAAACGTTCCCTTCATATCTCCAATTTTCTTGAAGAGATGGGGACTGCAGCCAAGAAATTAAAAGACACTTGCTCCTGGGGAGGAAAGCTACGGCAAATCTAGATAGCATACTAAAAAGCAGAGACATCACCCTGCCAACAAATGTGTGTATAGTCCAGGCCATGGTTTTCCCAGTTGCAATGTATAGGTGTGAAAGTTGGACCATAAGAAAGGCTGAGCGATAAAGAATTGAGGCCTTTGAACTATGGTGCTGGAGAAGACTCCTGCGAGTCCCTTGGACTGCAAGGCGTTCAAACCGGTCAGTCCTAGAAGAGATCAACCCCGACTGCTCTTTAGAAGGCCCGATCCTGAAGTTGAAACTCAAATACTTTGGCCACCTAATGAGAAGGAAGGACTCACTGGAGAAGGGCATAATGCTGGGAAAGATTGAGGGCAATAGAAGAAGGGGACGACAGAGAATGAGGTAGCTTGATGGAGTCACTGAAGCAGTAGGAGTGAGCTTAAATGGACTCCAGAAGATGGTAGAGGACATGAAGACCTGGAGGAACATTGTCCATGGGGTTCCAATGGGTTGGACACAACTTTGCAGCTAACAACAACAACAAAAATCCAAAGCATGATTCAGCTTTCTCTTTTCTAAGGCAATGTGTAAGGGTAGATGCTTTTAAATTGTTTGTTTTAAAAATCTGACTCTATTGCTGACGTCTTTTGCCTGTTTATTTGAGAATATAGATAATACAGAATATAGATAAACCCAAGGTCATTTTTAGTATATATAAGATTGTAAGAAATGCAGTTATTTAATTAGAATATAAATGTGCATATCTCGTTTGAAGATAAGAAATAAGATTAAGGTATTTATTAACAAGATGATGCAAACTGTCCTGAAATTTATTTTTCAGTTGTGGTTGGATAGATTCCTCTTTTGAATATGCTGATCTGTGTGGACTATGCAATAAAATGGGTTGTATATAGTTAGCAAACAATGACCCACATTTTGTTTTGACAAAATACCAACTCCAGATTAGATTGGTACCTTCTGTTCTGATTCTAGATGAAAATGAAGGCCATATGATGCTCTACTACTTCATGATATAAGCATAATGATATTTCTTAATTTTATATTGGCTAGTGTTTTTTTATTATTTCTCTATTCAAGGTCTTGTGTTTTAGCAATATTTGGTGTTTTGGTTACTTCCTGCCTAGTAAGACTTTGCATCAGTGCTTTTTTTGTTAAAAAAAAAAAGTGCCAGAATTCACACACGTCATACAACCCGCCTTGCCTACCTTATAAGGTTCCATCCAAAAAAGGTGCCGGAACTCCGTTCTGGGCGTTCTATGACAAAAAAAGCCCTGATTTGCACTAAGACAATATTATTTTATTAATGAAAAATAATAAAAAACATTTAGAAATCAAAATGTTTGAGTTTAGGTTTCTTTATAGAAGAAACATTAGTACAACAGCAACTGGCAAAACATAGTGTATCTTTATGGAAAATTCTGGTGCTCAATTTTCCTTTGGTCTTTTGAAGTATGAGGTTATAAATTAAGCAATAGTAACTATTGAAATTGGTCAAATGCCAAAATGTGGCAGCCAGTTTTTTATTTGGGAAAAGCTGCTTGAAATTAATAATTGCGTTAAATAAATAGACTAGTTCTTCTGTACCTAATAAGTGAGAGCAAGCCACACTGAATTCTGTGCCATTTACTTCTGAGTAAATGTATAAAATTTGCACATTATTTTCAACTAGAATTATATAATGTTGATTAAACGTTAAGCACATTTTTCTCATGTTTTTAACAATGTTTTTACAGGATAAACATTGGCTTATCAGACAAGCAAAGACTCCAATGACTAATTCATCAGTACAATTTCTAGATGATGCTTTTAGGAAAAGGTAGGAAACAAATTTTATAGGAATTTGTTTTTGCAAAATCGAAGAAAATCTTGTATGAAAATGCATACTTCAGTTTGTTGCTTTGATATAGAAATTAGCTTTAGAAAGTATAAAACTAATAGTACTAGTAATCTGTCATCCACCCTAACTTTACAAAAGTTCTCCAAATTATTATAATCTCAACATGTCTGTTGAACTAGAGAGCAGCTGCAAGCGGGAAAAATAGAGCCTACAATATATGTACTACTAAAACTCTTGTGTCTTTAATCTTTACCCGGGTAAAATGGTACATCACAGGGCAACAATTTTTGAGCCAAGGTACCTCAAATAAGATAACATATAGAATGTATTCAGAAATTCAGAATACATGACTCCCATGGAATTGATATTTGGCAAATGTTATAAAACATTTTATGACAATTGACCTATTAATTCAACTTGATTGCTGTGAACTAACCTTCTGCAATTTGGTTCCCTTGTAGTTTGGGAAATCCAGAAATTTTAGAAAGTAGTAGGCTGAAATCAGAATAAAGTAACTTGAAATTAGCCAGATATTCAATTCAAGCATTATGCCTAAACTGAAATTCCTGTGTTCTCAAAGTCAGAAATGTAAACTTAACTTATTTACAAATACTGTTTTCAGATTATATCTAATTAATGGATTAACATTTCTAACTGGAGAACCTGGATTATTATTTTTTCAATTATTTCAATGATTTGCTTACTTCCATTGACGGAAGAACTAAATAATGAAATGTGGCAGCACGTGCTAGTGTGTTGCTCTTTAGCAATAAGTAAAAATTTATTGTAATAGTCACATGAGTGCTGTTACAATTAAGCAAATCAGGCAATTTTTTCAAAAAGACCCCCAAGAAATCTTTGCTTGGCTAAGGTGACAGTACTTATTTGACCTAAATAAACCATGACTTTGTAGAATGTGTGAAATCAATGTCTTCTGTGAGATGTAAAATGCTGCTAAAGCTTTTGTATTTTGACCTGAACAATCCTATCTCTATGTAGATGGCGGACACTTCTGTCAGTGGATGATCTAATAGAAAAACTTGTGAAGAAGCTGCAGTTTCAGAGAGAGCTGGATAATACATATATTTTTTACACATCAGACAATGGATTTCATACAGGTAATATATATTTATATATAAATTACTCCTAGAATTAATTAGGAGTTCCAGGTATACATTTGGAAAACTTTAGAAAAAAATGTGATATTTCTGGGGAGAGAAATAATACAGACTCATTGAACATTATTTATTTCAACTTGGATGATCATATATGCTCCTCAGATATTCTCATTTGGAAACTCTAAATTTCAAGCCAACAGATGAGCAACTAATTGAAAATATTTCTTGAAGATCAGATAAAGTAGAATAATAGTTTGCAAATCAACCTCTGAAGAATGAAATATTCTGTTTCAGAATTTCTTGAAAGTTGTGAGTGATAGAATTTCTGCTCTCTATATTTATAGGCCAGTTTTCTTTGCCTATTGACAAACGGCAGCTGTATGAATTTGATATTAAAGTTCCATTGCTTGTTCGAGGTCCAGGAATAAAACCCAACCAGATAAACAAGGTACATTTTCCTTTGAGAACAATGCTGTATGATGTCATAACATTTATAGTATGAATTGTATGTTGAGTATAATTAATAAGAATGCAAGATATTTTGACTAGAAATAGGCTTTATAAGAACAGGTATGTAGTAAAACTGTATGTACATGTGTAGGTAAAGCAATAGAATAGTAATTGTTTCTGAATCTGCTTGGTAAACAGTAGAAATTGCATTTATTTTAATACCTGAGTAGTTTTTTAAAGTTGTTATAAAGCCTCTTATCTAGTCGTTGGAAGCACTTGTTACTCACATGAATGGCTAGATAAGTTTTCTATCTGCAAGCCAAGCCTAAACATTGTAGTATTGCTATAAAAGAACAAAGAAATCTTTGCAGGACTGCAACCCTCTAAAATTATAAAAATTGCTGAATACCACTCTTCCATTAATAAAATTAATAATTTTATTGAGGTTAGGGTTAGATAAGAAATGCACATACTGATGTATATAATATGGAACTAATTTCCTCACCTCCTTTTCATTCTCTCTCTTGCTTCTAGTGTATCTTTTGTGTACATTGGAATGAATCTCCCTTATAAATCCTTATATGTAGTTTTATGATTAAGAATGGGAAAAGGTTAGGCTAATAGTTAGAATTACTACATAACTATTCTGTTTATTATAAAATGGAATGTTCACATTCTGAATCGGTGGCTTTAAGCCTTCATGTGTAACACTATGTTATTCAACAATGGTAGGGCATACTAATAATCCAGAAATCATGCAATATTTGTGGGACGCCAGGAACATTTTCTAAATGGAGATTCTCAAGAGATAACTAAAATTTAGAGAACATTGGAATTCTCACCTGAAATTTAAAAGATGATCAGAAATCACAAATCTCACAAAACTTCTATTTTATCACCTACAATAACCACATGACTTGCTAATGATCCCAGGACAGTATTTTGGGAACCATTGTTTTCTATTATTAAAAACCAAAAAAGTTGTCTATATAATCCCAGGTGGCCAGTTATCAGGTCTAAGTTAAAGTGAAAGTATCTTCTGAGATGGAATTTTAGCTCGTGATTATATAAGTAAATGGCAAATAGAAGCAGGAAATTATGCTTCAGTTTTGTTACTTCTACAGTTTTGGCAATTTCCTAGTTTCAGGGGTTTTTCTGTTTTTGTTTTTTTTAATTTTTATTAATAATACAAAATTAAAAACACATTGGACGTAGATACATCTTCCGACATTTTACAGTAGTATTCGTACTCATATAGACATAAAGTTCTTGAGCTTTGCTCACTATTTATAATATAATATTAACCCTTTTCTCTTATTTCTATATATTTATTTATCTTTTAAATATACATTTGTCTATAATCTATATTTTATTCTAACACTATACATTTGTCTTGGCTACCCTCTTATTGTCTATCCAATCATAAAATTGTTCCCAGATTTTGTAGTACATAGTTTCACTTTTATCCTTGAGTTTCCCATGTAAGTCTATCCATTTCAGCACAATTGCAAATTTTCAGTAATATTTCCTCTTTGGTTGGAGTATCTTTCTCTTTCCATTTTTGAGCGAAGGCTATTCGTGCCGCTGTTACTATATGCAGTAGTAAATAATTTGTATCTTTCTTATATTTTCTTTCTATAATTCCCAATAAAAAAATTCCGGTTTGGCCCCTATATCTATTAGGAAAATTTCTTCCAGCCATTTCTTTAATAAGTTCCAAAATTTTTGTGCCTTTGGGCATTGCCACCACATGTGATAGTAATTCCCAACGGTCTCTCCATACTTCCAGCATATCTAGGATTTCCCCTTGTTCATTCATGCTAATCTTGTGGGAGGGAGGTGCCACCTATAAAACATCTTGTAGAGATTTTCCTTATAGGAGGTTGTTAGAGTAATTTTTAGATTTTTTCCCATAAACTTTGCCAATTATTCAAATCAATATTGTGCCCAAAATATTTATACCAAATTATCATCGTTTCTTTCACCTGTTCCTCAATCATATCTTGCTCTAATAAATATCGATATAGTTTACTTATAGTCTTGCCTTCCCTACTAAATAAGATTTTATCTAATTCTGAAGAGTTTTGCTTTATGCACTTTTTGTCTTTATTAAATTTGGATTGGATTTGAAGATACGCTCACCATTCCAGATCAATTCCTTCTTCCTTTAAGGTATTTCTCGCTTTTAATTCTCCTTTCTCATTCAAAATATCTTTATAGGTGACAGCACCCCCACGTTTTATCAAATTTGGATGTGTGTACATTTCTAATGTTGACACCCAGCTGGGGATTTTCATATAATTATTTCTTTTTATTTTTTTCCAGATATCCAATAATGTTCTCCTAATATAATGCTTCCGGAAGTGTTGCTGGACTAAATGTCTTTCTTCCCACAAAGCAGCATGCCACTCTGTCTGTAGGTCATGACCTTCTAGTGCTAATAATTTTGTATTTTTGAGATGCATCCACTCACTTAGCCAGACCAACGCCACTGCCTGATAATACTTTGTCCAGTCTGGTAGGCCAAATCCTCCTCTTTCTCTAGCGTCTTGTAATAGTTTTAATCTGATTCTCGGTCGTTTCCCTTGCCATATGAATTTTGAAATGAGTCTATCCAAATTTGTAAAAAATCCTTTTTAAGCCGAATTGGTATGCATTGAAACAGAAACAACATTTTCAGAAGAACATTCATTTTAATGGTGGGTATCCTACCCATTAAAGATATCTGTAGTTTCTCCCAATTTCCCAAATCAGACCTAATTTGCACCATTAATTTATCATAATTGTCTTCTTTCAGAGTGATGCATCTCGCTGTCAATTGGATTCCCAAATATCTTATTTTTTTCGTAGTCTGCATATTTAGCCTTCCCTCCAATTCTTTTTTTTGCTCTTCAGTCATATTTTTAACTATCATTTTTGTTTTATCCTTATTTATTTTCAGGCCTGCTACTTCTCCATAGTCTTCCAGCACTTCCATCAGCCTAAGACCAGATTGTACAGGCTCTTCAATAATAAATACAAGGTCGTCCGCAAATGCCTGTACCTTAAAACTTTCTTTTCTTACTTTTAAACCTTTAATTTGTTTGTCTTCTCAAATTGTTCTAAGTAAAACCTCTAATGATAAGATAAAAAGCAGTGGAGATAGCGGACAGCTTTGTCTAGTGCCTTTTTGAATTAAAAAGTTCTTTGTCATTTCCCCATTTATCACCACTCTAGCTTCTTGTCTGGAATAAATTGTTTGGAACATCTTTATAAATTTTTCCCCAAAATCCATATATTTTAATTGTTCTAGTATGAAGTCCCATTTGATGTTGTCAAATGCTTTTTGCGCATCAATGAATATCAACGCCATCTGTTTTTCATTATGAGCTTCATAATATTCTATCGTATCCAAAATAATCCTAATGTTATTCCTTATATGCCGTCCGGGAAGAAAGCCGTTTTGGTCAGTATGAATAAAATTCTCTAAAATTTTCTTTAGTCTATCTGCCATAATTGTCATGAATATTTAGTAGGGATATCAGCCTATAGTTTTTAATATAAGTCAAATCAGAATTTTCTTTGGGAATCAATGTGATTGTTGCTTCTTTCCACGATTCAGGTATCTTGGCTTTATTCAGTACATCATTGTACACCTCTAATAGCAGTGGGCTTAATATTTCCTGATGGTTTTTATAGATTTCTGAAGGTAAATCATCTGGACCTGGTGTTTTGTTACTTTTTTGCTTTTTAATTGCCTCAGATATCTCCCTTGCTGTTATCTCATTATTTAATAATTTTTTCTCCGAGATTCTGGGCAAGTCTGTTTTTTGAAGGTATTGCACCATCTTGCCTTCTTCTACTTTCTCCTTATCCTCATAAAGGTTTTAAAGAACTCATACGCTACCTTCCTCTTTTCCTCATTTTGGTAAATTAACTCTCCTTCTTCATTATATAATTTGCTAATCTGGTTCTTTTCTTTCCGTTTCCTTAGTCTATAAGCCAGCCATCTTCCCAGCTTATTTGCATTTTTAAAAAAATTTTGTTTAATGCTTTTAATTTGTTGTGCCATATTTTCCTTTTCAATGATATTTAGTTCATGTTTAATAATATCTATTTGATGTTTCAGTTCCCGTTGTATGGGTTCTTCCTGCAACTCCCTTTCCAGTTTACTAAGATCTTCCACTTAAGTTTTTTTGCCGTTGTCTTTTTTGTTTGTTGTCTTTGGCCATATATGATATTTCAATACCCCTCATAAAGGCTTTTGCCGTGTCTCACAGATTCTGGTTATTCGTGTCTTCTTTCTTGTTATTTTGAAAAAACAAGCTCATTTGATCATCCATCTTTAATTTAAATTCATTTTGGTTCAAAATTGCTCTTTTTAGGGTCCATCTCCTTATCTTTTTTTGCCCTTTCCATTTAATTTTAATGGGATTATGATCTGCCCACGAATTTATGTCAATATTAACTTTCTCAATTCCCAAATTCACTTCTGTCAATGCCCAAACTATATCAATTCAAGAGCAAGATTGATGTCTACCTGAATAATAAGTATATTGTTTTTTATCTCCATTTCTTTCCCTCCAACAATCCTTTATATTTAATTCTTCCACCATCTCAAAAAATGAATTAAGTAATATCCTTCTAACACCTTTCTTTCGTCTGTTATTTCTATAATCTAGTTTTCTGTTTACAATCGCATTAAAATCCCCAACTATACACAGATTATCACATTCTAAGTCTCTAATCATGTTATACAATTTCTTATAAAATAGTTTTTGACCCTCGTTAGGTGCATATATTCCAACTAACATCATTTTTTTGCCATCCACTGTGGGATTAATTGCACAAATATACCCATAGAAATGCTCCCACAGGGTCCTTGAGATAACAAACGGACTGCTCCAGACACAGGATACATTCATCAGCCATTTGGACAGAGTCTGATAAGAACACCTGTGTAGCCTTGCATCTAGAGAGTGTCTGTTATGCGATACATTGTAACCACCCCTATATACGTCTTTTGATTACGCTGTGTGATGTAAAAACTGTAGTAACAATAAAAGAGGGTGTTGGAGTCAGCTCTGGGCTCCCATCCCGAGATACCTGCGTGCATGTCTCATTCTCCATGGGAGACCACCACATCTGGTGACCCCGACGTGATCCACTGAGGGATACGTCCCTGCCGACCCTTTACTTATCGCCTGGAATAGGCTTGGTGCACCCGACGAAGTTGCTGGCAACTGACTCCTCTTCGTAAGTATGGGGGGTGGAATGTCTCACGCTCAAAAGCAACATGTGGAAGAGCTGAGGCTACTTGGCAGGAAAAAATATCTTACTGATAAGGAACAGAAATTAACCCGTCACCTTTCTAAATCTGAGGCTGTTAAATTGCTTGCTTACGTTTGGGCTAACTGCTTATCCTATCCGGAGTCTGGATCTTTAAAAGTAGATACATGGAGGAAAATCGGCGCCATCCTCCATCAGTCTCCGAGAGCCCCCCCAGAGATTTTGTGCCTTTGGAAAATTGCCTATACCCTGATTCAAACCCATGCTGACTTGCCTCATCAGCCTTTATTAGACCCTCCACCGTACAAAAGTCCGTCTGTTATGTTGGCCACTCCCTTGCCACCTGGAGCCGGTTTTAACCCTCCTTCTGCCCCTGCAAATTCTATGGATCCTGATAAACAACAAACAGCCTCTCCTGTTCCTGCCACGTTGCCGCCTGTCTCCCGGCCCGGAATCATCCATGGCGCTTTTCAAAAGGCTTTGAACAATGGTGATTTGAGCGTTTCTGAACTATCCGAGACAGAGTTGTTCCCTGTTACTTATCAACAGACCGCAGCAGGCATAGTGGTTGATTGGGAAGCACTTCCCCTGGCTATGATCCGAGAATTGAAAAAGGCTACAAAAGATTATGGCATAACCAGTCCCTATACTAGAGGACTGAGACACTCAGTTGCTAGTGCATATCGAATGTTGCCTCAAGATTGGAAAGATCTGTTCCGCATGCTTCTTAACGGAACGCAATACGTAGTTTTTGAATCTGAATATAAAAGAGAGGCACAAAACAGAGCTAATCACCCAGGTTCACAATGGACTGCAGAACAACTCTTCGGAGAAGGCAATTTTGCTACCCTTAATGCTCAGGCTCAAACTTTTACTCCCTTTGCATTTCCAATTATTAATACTTGTGTTCTTTCTGTCATGGCTCGTGTTGATGAGTCTGGCACCCCGATTCAATCTTTTTCTGCCATTCGCCAAACTGCAACTGAATCCTATGCAGACTTTGTGAATCGCCTGCAAGTTGCCATTGAGCGTCAAATTTCAAACAGAGATGCAGCAAATGAAATCCTCATAAAATTGACTTATGAACATGCAAATGCGGACTGCCAGTCCATTCTTAAACCACTTGTTTCCAGTCCCATACCACCCTAGCGGACTTTCTTAAAGCCTGCCACATTGTGGGAACCAATACTTTTCAAATGGACACTCTTGCAGCTGCAATCCAAAAGGGGAATCAACCCCAAGGCACTTGCTTCAATTGTGGGAAATCTGGTCATTTTAAAAAGCAATGCAGAGCCCCAGGAGCCGGCGCGGCTCGACCTGCTGCCATCCCCGGAGCCAAGCCCAAAACTGTGTGCCCAAAATGTAAAAAGGGTTTTCATTGGGCTAATCAGTGCCGTTCCTCTCAGTCCAATCGGGGAAACTAAGAGAGGGGTCTGCAGCTAACCCCTCTCCAAAGGCTGCATCCTTTTCAGACCTTACTTCTGCTTCGCAATATTTTTCTGGCATTGATTTAAAATTGGCTTCTGATCTTTCTGTTACTTTTCCTAACCTATTCATGGTTGCTGAAACCCTTTATTCTGGATCCTTGCCTCCAGAAACGGAGGGAATAATTCTTCCCACACCTGTTGCTCGGGAACAAGGAGTGTTTGTGCTTCCAGGTATGATAGATCCCACGTATAGAGACACCCTAAAAGTCCAATTTTATACCAATCTCCCTGTCACAATGAACTGGGGGGATACGGTGGCACGCTTGGTTTTATTACCACGTGCAGCACCATCTATTCCAGAGGCTGCATATGCACCTCACTCTGGGAATTCTTCCTCTGATTTATTGGCACTAACAAAGCAAATTACTCCCCAAAAACTGGTGATGCCTTTTTTAATCAATGGCATTCTCTTCTCTGGTCTTGTAGACTCTGGTGCGGATGTCTCAGTCATAAGAATAGCTGAATGGCCCTCTAACTGGCCCCTCGAATCCTCACCGGCAGTCAGGGGAGTGGGAGGACTTCAACAAGCAAGCTCCAGTAAAAATTGGCTTACTGCACAACAAATCACAAAAGGCATTTCTGCTAAATTTAAACCTGTCATCCTCCCTCTTCACACAAATTTATGGGGCAGAGACTTACTCTCTCAATTTAATGCGAAGTTAACTCTGGAAGACTAATAATGCCTCCTTCACCCATGAAGCTTACGCTCCTATCTGACACCCCCGTGTGGGTGGACCAATGGCCACTCACTTTAGAAAAACAGAAAGCATTGCAGAAACTGGTATATCAGCAAATACAATCTGGCCATTTGGAACCAACTACCAGTCCTTATAACACCCCAGTATTTGTAGTCAAGAAAAAATCAGGCAACTGGAGAATTATTCATGATTTACGCCTCATTAACATAATAATTAAACCCATGGGTCCGCTACAGTGCGGAATGCCCAACCCAAATATGATCCCCAAAGACTATGATTTGGCAATTATTGATTTAAAAGACTGTTTTTTTACCATTCCTTTACACCCTGATGACAAACAACTTTTTTCTTTTTCTTTGCCTCAAACTAACATGTCCCGACCTACTCCTCGCTATCAATGGACTGTTCTTCCCCAAGGCATGCTTAACAGCCCCACCATATGTCAAGCTTTTGTGGACGCTGCCTTGTTGCCTTTTCGCAAATCCTATCCTAACTTTTTGCTTTATCACTATATGGATGACATTCTCCTAGCTGCCCCGGGTCCTCCTGGCACAGTACAAACTGTCCTTCCCCAACTCATTCAGCTTTTAGCTTCTTATGGCTTTATTGTCGCCCCGGAAAAAGTTCAGACCCAATCTCCCTTTTTATATCTGGGACACAAAGTCCTAGCCTCTCATTCTGTTCCAGTACTCCCTGCCATCCACCTTCCTTCTCCTCTCACTTTAGTTGCTTTACAACAAATCTTGGGCACCATAAATTTTGTGCGTCCATTTCTTGCACTCACCACTGCCCAATTGGCACCCTTGTTTTTGGCTTTGCGAGGCCACACTTGCCCCTCCTCTGTTGTTGTTCTTAACCCCACTCAAAAACATTAATTAATAGTGCCCTCTCCACCCGCTGGGTGGACCGGGCCATTCCCAATGAGCCTTTGTCTTTGGCCATATTTAATACTCCCTCTATTCCTACAGCTGCCCTTCTCCAACATCAAAAGGGGAGCGTTTC